CAGGAGAGAAGCCAAGTTAGCATATCCAGGTTAGCTCCGGAATTATATTGTATATTTATATTCCAAGCAGTTTCACACTTTGACTTTGGAAACTGTTTTTACATGATTTTGTATGCCAGATTGAAAAGTTAGTATATGCTCACCAACACAGATTGAGAGGTTTTACTTGTTCGCTAAAGTCGTTTTATGGTGTGTTGTGTGAAGACTACCCAGGAAAGTGTTGTGTAATTGGTCACATTCCTTCAGAGGTCCAAACGGTTTAACAGCTGCGTTTTGGTTATAACAAGAACTCAAAGCTATACACTCTAACCACAGTGTACGACCTATGACTTTTTACTACCAGTGTGTGCAGAGTATTTGCACCATGCAGGTTGTGTGTAGTAAGTGCTATATTATCTACTGGACATGTAAGTAATTGTGTTATTTTCCCAATATTACGGGGGTCCGTCCGTCTGTCGGTCTGTCACCCCATAGACCATCCAATCAGTCTGTTAACCCCATTTTATTTAGGAGAGCTTCAATAAAGATTTCGTCAGTTGTGGAGTAAACAACAGAGACAGTGTCGTCGTCCGTTAATCGCTGTCGTATCAGTGAGAACCTTGCGCTTGCGGCGCAGAAACCTATAGTCCGGCAGCACGGCCGGATAATCCGACATTCAGATACCTGCTCTATGCTACGGTCGTGAATAACTAGTGGCATATAGGGGGGTTAAAGATTGAGACCGGCAGAAATAAAAAATCATTTCTTTGGTTTTGTTTACATTCAGAACCAGGTGATGGCTATCGCACCAATTTACAAACTGTTCGACTTGCTCAAAGTAAGCCTCTGTGTTATCCTGCAAAAACACTTGTAACAGTGCCATCTGCATACTTAACGATCGCACAATTTGGATCAGAGACTCGGCAATCACTATAGTACACAATAAAAGCAAAATTGGGAAGATCACACATCCTTTAGGTGCTCCTAGATTCAAAGACCTGACTCTTGAAGTAACATTATTGCACTTATAACCCACTGTGGTCTGTCAGCCCAAAATCATGAATAACCAAGGCAAATTTAGATAAAAATTCAGTTTGAGTAGGCCTAACTTGTCAATTAACAGATGAGGTATGATAGTATTAAATGCACTTGAAAAATCGATGAAGACCGACCCGACATACGACATTGGGGTCTCCAAGTGTCGATAAAGGTTATTAGAATACAAAGCGTACACCTCTTTGTTTTGTAAGCAAACTGAGTCTGGTCTAAAGAATCCACCTGATCCTTCAAATCCTAGCAATATTCTTTCAAAACAATTCATGACATTTGAATTCAGGGCTAAAGGTCGACAGTGGTTTAGTTCACTGGGATTGTTAACCTTTGGAACTGGGATGATAAAAGACGATTTTCATAACTGATGAATAATACCATTATCAATAAATAATTGGTAAATATAAGTAAAAATATCAGCAAGCTGTTGACTGCACAATTTCAAAACCTTATTTGGACTTCCATGCGGACCCGCTGCCTTGTTAACGTGTTTTTGCAAACACACTGCCAGCATTATGTATATCTACATGTATGTTCATTGTATTCAGGTAATCTCTCCCGTTTTGGAGAACATCTCTGATTGAAACATTTTCAGCTGTGAAGTCATGCACATCAAACCTGCTATAAAAATTCCCCAGACCATTCACAAATCCTTTATATAAGACCACCTCCTTGGATGCACTCTTTTAACCAACAATCGTTTGCATCCTTTGCCGCATGGCACTTGGGCTATTTTCAAGGAAATCACTCTCCAGCTTCCTCTTATACTTCATCTTAGACATCTTAATTTGCCTGTCAATATCTCTTTGAAGAGCCTTAGCACCTAACTTATCACCCAAAAGATAAATCGTCCTTTTTTGATTAAGCAGTTTTTTTCAATTCCTTGGATATCCAGGGTTTATGATTCGGATAAAACTGCACAGATCTCAGAGGAATTACATTATCAACACAGAAAATAATAGGATCAGCCAATACTGTAACTACTTCATCAATAGAGTCCGCTGAATCCATGAGAGTACCCCAATCCGTACAGTCAAAGCATGCTCGCAATTTCTCGACGGCATGGGAGCTCCATATTTCACCATTTCCTTCTCGAACTACCGTGTGTAGCGCCCATTCCTTTCCCATTCCTAATCCCACTGTTTGCTCTTCCCTTCCTAATGATACTGGTAATCATTCCTCAGCACAGCTGACATCGACCACGCCCGCACCGTATGAACCATCACTCCAAGGACGCTCTCCACCTGCTACCCGAGTTGGCACTTTCCTCGGTCAACCAATAGCACCGAATGCTGATCCAGGCATAAATCAGAACCAAATGTTGAGCTCAATGTTGGCAGCATCCGCTGGTGGGATTAGCATGGAAATTCCAGTCTTCAGTGGTGGCAACCCCTCAGAGATCCATTGCTTTGACGCCATGGTTGAGGGCTGCATAAGTATTTAATTGTGAGGTCTTAGCAACGAGGACAACCCAAAAAAGATGTCCTTGGTTTTGAGCACAATGCTAACCCTTTTACCCTCACAATGTCAACCTTACGTAAGCTGTATGGAAACATCGGTATTCTCATCCGATCTTCCTGAAAGACAAAGGGGTGCTGCTGCCTACCACACCAAAGCTGGGAACCAAGCAGCCATTGTCAACAACAGACCCGGCAAACCATCTCATACGACTAGTGATTTGACAGAATCCAGACCAACCAAGGGAAGAAACCACTTTTCAAGCATTACCCCCACTGTGAAGGGGAACAGTGGCTTTCCCGTTGTGATTATTTATTTGATAGGGCCTAAGCTCTCTGTCGGTCGACGAATTGAGTGGATAAAGGCAAACCGTAGATGTTGGAGGTGTGCCCGACAGCACCGAGAGTGCAACGAAATCCACTTGACGGTCCTCCACAATCTGCTCAAACAGTCGGGATATGGCTCATACTACTCAAGTTTTGACCCCAACCTCTCGGTTTTCTACGGCGATGGCAGTCCTTGGCACCCCAAGAAAGTTAGCTTGAAAACTTTGTCATTTGTACGGCGATAGTACATCGCTCACAACTTATTGTCTGTTGGATGATGGGTCCAACTTCTCCAAGATGCCAATGGAAGCTGCCGAAGCCTTGCCACAGAAATTCCGATTGTGACGGCTCGAGATGCTTGTACTCTTTCTTGGGGACAGATGTTGAATTTTGACATTGTCCCTCTGGATGATCCCGACTTGCGAATTCACGTGAGCATTGTCTTCTCCTCTCCAATGCTTAGATTATCTGAGCATTCCCTACCCAAGATCTTCAATGAAGATGGTCTCATTTGCAAGACCTCCCTTTGCATGACTGCCAGAAGGTGAGACCACTTCTGCTTGGAAGCAACCGCCCAGACCTGATGATCCCCAGAGAGAGTCGTTTTGGCCCAGAGAGTGCCCAAGTAGCAGTAAGAACAAGATTAGGATGGGCATTGCAAGGACCAACCATGCGGTGTGGAGGACAAGGAAAGCTGCACTACCTGTCTAGCCAACAAGATGCTGTCCTCCGTGAGAATGTCTCTCGGCTCTGGAACATGGATATCCAGGTTTGTTGAGAGAAAGCAAGTTGCCCAATCAAAGCAGGACCAACGAACAGTGGACCTTCTTGAAGCGAAATCAACCTATGTCAAGATGGCTAATGTGCGCCAAGTGGCGACACCACTTCTATGGAGGCTGGTACATTAGACTTGCACAAGTCCCACTACTATTATTACATGTAGAGGCCTCTAATTCTAGTTATTACTTTTAGCTGTATTAGTTTCTTATTAGTTTCTTATTAGTTTAAGGTTGGCTTCGCAGTCTACACAGACAACAACCCTCTGAGCTACCTGCAGACGAATACCAAGTTGGGAGATACAGAGACAAGGTGGGCAGCTGAGTTGGCGCCATTCAACTTCACAGTGAGGTACAGGTCAGGAAAGAGCAACAAGAATGCTGATGCTCTCAGTGGAAAGCCTGTTCATGGTGCTGAGCCAGGGAATGTACGGTGTGAGGAAGTATGTACCGCAGCCAACCCTCTTCTCCAAATGTCCACGACAGTTCCAAATGAAGTGCGTGAAGAGCTACTGACCATCCTTGCTGAAGCAGGACTGAGTGATGTTCATGCCAGACATGACAGGCCGACACCTACTGCAACTTCAACCCTACCAACAATACCACCTGTATGTTTCAGCTCAATTTGCCCAAGCAGTTTGCTTTGACATGATTATTTGAACTGCTAGTTACGCCATATTGGGCGTTGTTATCTCAGGGCATATTCTTAATATTTCTTTAATTTTGTATTTTTCAGGGTCTTCTTTTCCTGCAATGCAGCAACACCATTAAAAGAACCAGACCAGTAAATGTACACCATCTTTGTCGTGCATTTTCTTGTGTCACATTTAGAAGGTTGCGATAGAATTGTAAGCTAACTGTTGACTGAATTGGAGAATTGAAAAGCAGACTGTTACTGCATACTGAATACTGAATACTGGATCTGGATATGGGATACTGAGGAGCTGTACGATGATGCAGGACATATATACGGTTAGAAACAGGATGTAGTTAAAGTCACAAAACTTAAGAAAGGAAAGTCTCAGTCACATGTCTTAGTTGGATTCTTAGAACAATGACTGTGAATGAATAATTTCACCTTAAAACAAAGTCCTTAGTGGATGATAGTACAAGCTTAAATGAAGCATGCTGAAGTGTGCCTAGCCTCTGGGCTAACAAGGTCAAATATGCGGAAACAATATACACTGTATAAGACACTGTGTGGGTGTACTCTTACAAGGAAAATGCAGTGAGTAATGTGTCTTAGAAATGGCAAACAGGATATTTACAGGAAATGAAAAAGTGATCAAAGTTAAAAATGAAGATTCTGAATGCTCAATTCACTAAAAGAAATAAATGCAAATAATTCAAGTAATTGTGCAGAAAACGCTACTCTGGATAAGCCCATTCTCTTGTCCAGCCAGTGCAGTGCTGGCCTTGTTGAAGAGAAATTAACAGCGCCTGTTGAGAGACCCCGATTTGGCAAAGATTCATTGTAGCCAAATCCAGGAACTCAAGGAAGGAGGCCTCGTCCATACTGTTATCCACCAACGGGGCAACCAGGAACCAGAGTAGCAATGGTACATTCCACATCATGTTGTGTGCCAGAATGACAAACCCTGCCTATTGTTTGTTATTTTATTTCAGTTACAACAAATGCACAAAAGTCATTGTGGAGTCGAGTCATGACATCTCTGCATGCACGGTGGTCACGTGCTTACGCCACCACGGTTGCTGCTGGATCAAATTGCGCACGCTCTCGCGCATACGACGGCGGTCCTTTGACACTTATAGTTAGGCTCTTAATAAAATCGTAGATATTCATGACCGCTTAAATATTTACACACAATGGAGTGCTTGTTGGTCATTGTCAGGCAGAGGTAAGGCAGTGGCGTACAACCAGGGGTCGCACACAACTGCTGGCCCAGTAGCGTTTTTACCGTGCAAGGCTGTACCATGTTTTGGAGCGGAGTGCGCCAAGTTTTACGTCCCACTTTACCGGGGCTGCTGCCGCGGACTTGGTCCCCGGCAAGTGTCACCTCTAGAAATGTCAGGGGTTTCTCGGCGGTGTTCACGAGAGACACGCTGCCAAGAGTCGGCGTGTCTCCGTCAAACTCGAAGGCCATCCCCGTGTCGGTAACGACGACACGACTCCCGAAGGGACAACCACTGGCTGCTACGCCGGTCGTGGCACGGTGCTACGTTAGCCAAGATATTCAGCCAAATATTCAGGTAAATCACACCACTTTTGCCCAGTTTCCATAGGTCCCCAGTTCAGGTTTTCAGAGGTCGCCTCGTCACAAAGGCTACTTCAAATTGTCGAGTCAAGTTTGAACTCTCTTTCTCATTCATGCATCCCTCGCCTTTTTTGTGGACTTGCAAGTGAAAGTGGTTGTCTGACAGGGGCTTTGTCATCCGTAAAGTCATGATAGTTGTACGGTTCATATTGCCCCGGGCAATATATTTTTTTTTGGGGGGGGGGTTAAGACGAAGAAAAAACTGGAAAAAATTGAACGTAACCTACGGCCTTTCTGAAAGGGGTGAACCTGCTCTTGTAACGTTTTGGCTTTTTACACGCTTTTGGGAGGAAAGGAAATGAAAACGTCCCCAAAAATCACCCTTGGGCCTATTTCATTCTTTAAAAAAATGAACCAAAAAATTGCTCCATTTTCAAAAGGAGGCACGACACCCCCCCCCCCTACGATTTTCCTTTACCTCGGGCCAGTTGCCTTTTTTTAAAAATTGAAATTGAAAATTTTTTTTAAAGATAGATTTATGTAGGAAAAAATAGACAATCCTTACAGAGAATAAATTGCATTTTGTGCCCCCCGTCTCCAAGCTGGATACGCAGTAGCTGCGGCTCTCACAAATTAATCTTTGTAAGGTGGGGTGGTCTTGGAATTTTTCTACAATCACCTGCAGGTACTTATGAAAAATGGATGGTTAGTCGCTCTGTCTAATTTTCATCTGCCAGATTGGATCTTTGAGTAAGGATGACACGCGTCGCATTGTGAGCGTGACTTGGTCTGACGGGAAGAGACGAGAGTACCCGTTCCCCTGGCTACTGGATAACTGCCTCTGTTCTGATTGCTACCACGTCGAGTCTCAGGGTCGACTTTTGCCTTTCGACCAGCTCGATATCACCGCCCACCCGGAGTCGGTCGAGAGCATCAACGGAGGTGACACGCTTCGAGTCTCGTGGAATCGACGCCACCACAGCGACTTCGACTCCCACTGGCTGCGCTCTGTCAAGTTCGATCAGAAGCCGCCGGATGACGTCGCCCTCACGACTCCGACACTTTGGGGCGCGGAGATCACTGAGTCTTTGCCCAGATTTGAGTTCCGAGACGTTGTTTCGGATGACCAGGCTTTGTTTGACTTCCTGAAGGCCTTCTACGAGTTTGGCATCGTGAAGATTGAAAAAACGCCGGCTGAACCACGCCAGATCCCCATTATCGCAAAGCGAATCGGCCCAATGCGGGAGACAAGCTTTGGGTAAGGTGAAGTCCTTGTATACGCAGTTCCGGTGCGTTTATAAATTAAAAGTAATTTGTGTCATCTTCACCACCGAAATATTTTAATAATGGTGGCGGGAAAGTCCTTTTATGTTAAACCCCTTCACGTCGGAATTCTTTTGACCGTGACCGCTAGGCTGCGGTATGCCCACTATGCAAAGCTCTGTCCAGCAGCAGGCCCTCATTGAAACCGCAGGTGCATGATGAATGTGTGGTATGCACTAATCCTCACACAGTGGTGCGGCGTTTGCTGTCCTTCGTTACGAAGTGGTTTTTAGTAAGTACGATTTCAAGTATTCGTTCCGTGAATTTATCAAAAATATCGCAACCAGCTCCAATCATATTCTCAAAACACGCTTGTATATCGTGCGTTGTGTTCTCATCGCCTTGAATGATCGACAGTCAGCAGACTCAAAAATTGAACGTTTGCCACAGACAGTACAATCAGGGGAGGTTTGATAAACAAAACCAATGGATGTATTAATCACAGCCTGCGGAAAATCTCGTTACATCAAGGATCGCTGAACCCCCTTCACCCACATATTTTTTGTATTGCCCTTGTTGCCCCAAAAGCCATGATATTCCTGCGAATGTTTGTATTTTGGAGGGACAATAGAGCAAAGCCATAGCTCAAATTTTTGAGGGGTAAATTCTCTCATTGAAGGCTGCTCCAACCACTCAAGAAAGGCGGGAACCAGGTTGAGGAGTTGGATCCTGATCGAGCCCTGTCGTACACGACAAAGGCTCTGCAGCTTCACACGGATATGAGTTGCCTCTACGAAACGACATATGTGAGTGTATTTAGACAATTCAACGAGCTTGAAAAGGAAACACCATCTTGCAGTAACAATCAACATTCTGTACGGACATACATTAAATTTCACTTTGAAGATTCATGATGAAGCACAAAAAGGCTACACGCCAGGAGTAACCCTTTACCAGTATATGAAAAAATTCTAAAACGCTCTGGTGGACAGTGACTCGATCAGTCTGACTCGAATCACTGTATTTTGCAACTTGACTAGATTTGAGTTCCGACGGTTATATGACTCGACTCTACTCGAGTCACTGCGAACAAATGACTCCACTCAACTCGAGTCCTCATCAGGAGACCTGACTCTACCCGAGTCACTGCGAACAAATGACTCCACTCAACTAGAGTCCTCATCAGGAGACCTGACTCTAGTGAAAACTAATAAGCCTTAAGTCCCCAAAATAAAAGCAAACTAATTTGCGAAAAAAAAATTTCAATGACTTACACTATCTGTTTGTAATGTCCATGTCATGTGTTATTATTTTGATTTGACCACATAGAACTCCAGAGGTAAATGTTAAAAATAAAAAAAATCTCTCTTTTCCATTTTGCGTATTGTGTTTAAAGATTGGTGACTCGAATAATTGACTCGAGCTGAAGACTTTAATTGACTCGACGCGCTCGACTTTGTTGCTTAATGACTCAACTCGACTCGAGTCACTATACGTTAAAATGACTCGACTCTAGTCACAAAGATTGGTGACTCGTTACAATTCCGGTTCCCACGTTCGTGATTAAAACGACAGCAGAGGGACTAGGGTTAGTCTTCCCGCGTTCCAATTTGCACGTTGTGAAGAAACGAAGAACGAGAATTCAGCACACTGGTCATAGACACAGTTTGCTTACCGATGGTAGCCAAGAATCCCTTGGTCGTTTGATTTTCATTTCCTTGAACCCTATAGATGGCGTTCTTCCACTGCATTAAATCCTCAAACTGTAAGGGAGGTGACAGTATCTACGCGGATGGTTTCCGGGCTGCCGAAATGTTGAGGCGTGAAGACCCGGACGCGTTTCAAATGCTGACCACCAATCAACAAGAGTTCCGACTGGTGGGGGCGGAGCCTCATGTGGGCGATTTTGATCATCGGTGCTTCCATTTCCCAATCAAGTATGTTGAATAACTGAATCAGCATAAGTGTGAAGTGTATGCTGTGATCTTATTCCATGAATGATTTTAAAAGCTTCTCAGATTAAAATCATTTTGACATTTTCAAACGTTCTGCCTCAAAGGCTTGACCATTTTGGACGACTCAAGGCGGTTCACTACAGCACCCACGCCAGAACGACCGCAATGTTCATGCCCGTTGATGACGTTCAGCCCATGTATAATGCTCTCCAGGTCTTTGCTAAGCTTCTTGAGAGCCCAGAGAACGCATACTACGTTAAACTACAAGGAGGTGAGGTCTGGTTCAAGTCTTGGCATTCGCCATAAAACCCGCGTTGTCTAATTATCACGGTACCTCGATAATGTAGAGCATTCAATTCATGTTTGATGTGCCTTCACCCTTACACACTCTTCCTAACTTTGGTATCTGTTGACCCAGCATCTAATCGTGTTGTCGCATGAATCGCGTGTTTACGCCGTTGGCATCATGCCTGGAGTGGAGCTCGAGAATTGTATACCAGTGCCCATTTCATAAGTAATTGGCAATCCAAACTCGCTCCAGGCTACCTCTCCTTGTTGGAGAAAGTAGCTGTGTCTAAAATACGTCTAGTTTAGCCAGTAAAGTGGCATCGAACGAGGATCGTGCAAACTTCAGCTGTGCTCTTCTTTCGTCTGTCCTAGGTGAAATGATAGTTGTCAACAACCACCGCGTTCTCCACGGGCGTACTCCGTTCAAAGACTCCGGCGAGCGACACTTGGAGCTTGGATACGTCGACTGGGACCACGTGACCTCGCGCATGCGTGTCCTCCAAAGAAAACTGAGTGATGACAAAATGTGAAAACAGGTTTCGTTTATCTCCTATAAGCCAACAGTATCCTCTGAATGACATATCACGTACTTAATTAAACCTGTCTGATTGGAAAACTAACTTTTTAAAGTTGCAAGATGGAAAATAAAAAAATCCTGTAAGGACAGGTACGGTATCTGGTCCCATAATTATTAAAACCAAGAGACGTAAAAACATACTTTGAAAATTTGAAATATTAAACCAGGCCCTCAAAATATTCTGTGGGAGCGAAGTTGTCATAATTGCTAGGTCAAACCGTTCGCTTGTCCCCAAATTCCTAGGGGTGGATCCAGGAATTCTTCCGGGGGAGGGGTAGGCCGGAGATTTTTTTATGTCTCATTTTTGCGGACAAGTGGAAACGACGATGACAAATTACATGTCGCATAACGATGCACATACATTCAGCATTTTTCTGGCATTTTTGCCCGATGCTTTGATCACTCAGTACATTGCATACCAATGACCTAAAACCCAAGCCACAACCACAACACATGTGTATTCGATATGCACATTTTGAACCGTATTAAAATGAGTCCATGTTACCTTTAGATCTGAGGTTAATGGGGTATTGTTAACACCGATTTCTGCACGGATTGAGGTAAAAACCGAAATGTTCGAAGATGTCAGGTGCCCAGCTTTCCGAAAATCAATTATGTATACACTGTATTTACATATCTATATTTAAATTAAACTCATAGTAATATGTCAGGATCAGAAAGTAACTGGTGGTGCAGCCTGACACCTATTGTACGTGCAAATCACGAGAGGATTATAAAAATACGGAACATGCATTTTAGGTACAAAGTCCCGTTTTGCGACTTCAAATAACCTGTATATTTGAACTGTGATAAAGGATTACTTCGATGATGTTGGTTTTGAGCACTTCTATCGATTTAGGCACAATGGACCTTGATAAAACTGACCAAACTTGTAAGCCATGATGATATTCACTAACAGTGTTTAAAAGAAGTAGGCTTCCTTGCATATGTACATGTATAATCAAAGAGTCCAATCAGTAGGTTTATATCAAAATATACCTGAAAAGTATTAATATGATGCAACTATGCTTTTTGTAGTAAAAAAAACGCTTGTCAGTTGTAGCCGTTCTAGAAAAAGGAAAACTTAAAACAGAATGTGACAGTGTGATAATGGTACTTTGAATCAGGTGTTATTTTGCGTATCCTTGTTTTACGTTACCTTCTATTACCACTTGAAACTTAGTATTGCTAGAAGCCAACTATATATAATAATGAGGACAAAAGACACACTTGTTTATGTTTAAAGTTAACTAACACTATCTTCCATTAAATTTGGTAGTTAGAAATGACTGCAGAAAATCGGCAGAGTCAGATTCAGGGGGCAACGGGGCCATGTGTCCCCCCCCCCAAGAGAAGAATCAAGATTTTCAAAAATCAGAGAAAGGTGTTTTTTTTCTCTATGTTATTTCCCTTGCTTCCAAATGCACTCCCAAAGTTTTGCCCCCAAAATTTGTTTCTGCAGAACAAAAATTTTCGGGGATTTTCTTATGGATTTACAATTGGCCGAAGTTTGGGGGGTAAAATTGTAAAAATCGATTAACGTTCGAAAAAATACATTCTCCTCCTATGGTTGCTTTAAATTTCCATTGTTATTGCCTTTGTCGATGTAGTGGTAGATTGTTTTCTGACGTATTAATAAACAGTTAGGCCTACTTTACAGTTGCGGCTTAGTTGTCTTTTCATTTTCTATGTGCATTGCCCGCACCTTTCCCTGCTCTCGGCAAAGATGGGTGGTCATTTCTGAACATAATGATAAATTGATGTGGGGATCCTGCGTATTAAGTATTCTCGACGTTGAGCCTGAGAGGGCGCTCTTTCAAACTTGCCCTTTTTCCTTTCCACCGGGAGTGAACGCGGGCTGGCCGAAACAGTTTGGGTTACCATTTCAGCCCAGTGCAGTGGACCACACCACATTTATATGTAACTGCAACCCCACGAGTGTTGGGTGAGTTGAAATACTAATTATGCAAATGCTAATGCACATGCTAATGTACTTACCACACATTAAATACACATATGATTTTATACTTTGTAAATTCTCTATATTTATTCAATGTCAATGTCATGAATTGTTTCTCAGGGATATTTTAATTGGGGACACAATCAGCAATAAATAAATCAAGATCAGGAGGTCTGTTTCGCCCCTAATTTATTTCTGGGATTTCTCTTACTTTCTCGGACTATACAGCTCCTTCCTCAAGGGATGCTGCCACCTGGCGTTGCCCGCAAGCTTCCAAGCTCACGTTGAAAAGAAAAATATTTCTTTTTAACCTTAAACAGACCGCATTGATCTTCCCTTTCTGCTTTGATGATCACCTGAACCCCCCCCCAAGTTTTCAAGAATTCCTTTCAAAAGTAATCCCTTTCAACAATTTCAAAATTACTTTATCTGGGACGTTCTGTGTGCGCAAAATCTAACTCGATAACGTCTCGTACAACGTAGTTTTATTCTTAATTAATAGTCCGGTTGCAGAAAAGCTTTCAACCACAGTCCTTTTTTTTACTGATGACCTGTAGCACGATAATGTTCGGTTTAGAGAGGCCTGGATCAATTTTATACCGCGTTTTCCAAACGAGAAGAATTTACTAAAGAGCTACAACTTGACCAAAGAACTTTCTCCACATAAAAATCCGGTTCCTTGCGCCCCTATAAACGACTTGGTTTCTTCCAGTCAATTTAACCGGGAAAACTGTTACAGTAGTTGTTGCAACTTCCTTTTCTGCTTTGACCTGCATACTGGTTAAGTCGGCATCTACTCGTCGATTGAGAGATAGATTTTGAGTGGAATTCGCGAAGCGTACCTGGAACCTGATCAGTTATGTCTCCGATCATTTTTCTCCTGTTGTTCTGCACACTCGGAAGGACCAGAGGACTTTCCATGAGATCTGCAGACATCAGTAAGGTACATTTCGTCAGCGTGTCTCTCGGTCCGCACAGCCGGGACATCTTGGTCCACGTCGACGGCGTTACGGCCACCGAGTTCCTGGTTGGATCCAGCCCGCGCAACGGCGTGATCGTGCGGCGGGTCGCAGACGGCCGAAAACAGGTGCAAATTCTGGAAGATTGGACGCACCAGGTGGTGGATTGTAGGGTCACGAGCGACGCAAGGGAGATCCGCGATTTCGAGACGGCTACGGAGGCGCGTCTCGCCGATCACTTAAGCCGAGTTCCAACCGTCCTGGCACCGTCACCTCCTTGCGACTTCTCCCTTAGTTCGCCCTCCCCGGCCGGCAAATCCCAATATCTTACCGTCAGTTTGCTGCCTACGATCACGGGCGAAAACAGCCGGGCGAGTGAGGATTTTCTGCATCTGATGTCACTCACCGATACCAAGAAAGCGCAAAAAGAGTGCCAATTATACCATGCTCAGTTGAAGAAGGAGCCAAACCGATTCCATCTTGCTTCCCTGGAAGACGAAGCGGGCAGGGCAAGACGTGCACAGCCGAGAAGCGGCGATACCGAACGGGAGAAAAGGTCGGCCTTCATGATACCAGGGACGCTGTGGTGCGGTCCAGGCAGCGACGCCGAGTCCTATGACCACCTCGGGCAGGACATCGAGGCAGACGCCTGCTGCAGGGAGCATGACCACTGCCCCAGCTCCATCAAGCGATGGAGCACCAAATACGGCATCTTCAACTTTCGTCTCTACGCCATCAGCCACTGTGATTGCGACAGAAGGTATGAAAACTTTACAAAGAACTGGCAACTGGGGTGAGGGGTGGCATTAAGCCTCGTCCCTGACTGCCAATTTATCAAGTTACTTCTTCCTTTTTTTCATACAAAACAGGCTTTTCTATTCATCGATGGGAACTTGAATGAAAGTAACTTTTTCTTTAAAAGTTGAATGATCTGGCCACTTTTATCGTCAGAGCCTTAAATGATGATGTCGATTTCATCTTAAATTTTAATGAATGTCTCTGTATCCCAGTCTTATCAAGTTCGTTGATTGGAATGCATTGGGTGGGACACAAAAGAGGACTGCGAGAGGTGCGAGCATAGACCAAACAAAAAAGGGGGGAAATTTGGGATTCGCATCACCGATTTGCCAAAGTAAATGCCCCTGAATTGACACCTTCCACCCTCGAAGATTTATCAAGTTTACTGATGATGAATGCTCTTGGGCCCCCTGGAAAAATCCCCTGCGGAAAAACACCTGGTCACGTTCATGGTGGCGTGGGATAAAGGCTGCTAACCCGATTAGACTCCACACTTGCGGTGGCACCCAGACTGGTGGCCCCGCACCCACATGCACATTCTTTATAGTTTGACGCGCGCGTGCATTTGGCAAATCGCGACACCCTTCTGGTCGAAGTGGCATGTAACGCGCGCGTACCACCTTTCCCCGAGCGTTGTGCTACCGCAGTAAACACGTCTAGTTCTGGTTGAAGAATGTTCCATGCATCGCTCTCGGGGGATTACTGGCTGACTGCAATCACACTAACTGACGTAATATCATTTCGCTGCCGTTTGTTAGCCCCCCCCCCCCGATTTGACCGCGTCCAGGCACGTCAAGCCCAATAGAATTCCGTGACATTCAGTTTAAATTACAAATCAGGCTATGAAGAAACCAGTTATATGTGTCGATTTGGGGGGAAATTTTTGTATTAACAAGCTATATTCAAAGCATCTGCTATCTATTTTCGCCGTTCACATTTTGCTCAGAATCCCTTTTTCCCCCGTTCATTTTTCGCTTCTAACTATATCAGCGTCCCGGCTTTACTTTAAGACTTTCTTTCCCATCGCCACCTGACACACTGAGCCCTCCTTTACTATGCCAGTGGTCTTGACCTGATTTAAAAGCAGAGGTTGGAATGCTTCAGACTATGTGGTGAAAGAGAGAGAGGAAGAGATGGCTTTTCCGTGTAGTTGAATGACCGTGTGGAAGCACCTGCTTTCGTCATTCATTCAAAAGTGCAGAGGACTCTACAGGGTCCAACAAGACTTTCTGCTTTTCAGCGTAAAAAAATCCCAAATCTAAGGTGTTTATCCTTATATCGTGACCTTCTGGTTAAGTGTTTGATTGGGACCGAGATCCGACACAAAGAACCGACTGAGTCAACACAAATTTGATGTTTCGGGCAGTGTGCCTTCGGCGCACAAGCTACAAACATGTCTGGTAGTTTTAAAGGCTAATTTAAAAAAAGATTATTCACAATTATGCAAGATTAATACGCATGTGCATTGATGACAAAAATCGACTTCTTATATCACAAAGGCATTTCAATATTAGTATATCCGGTTCTTCACTTGTAAAATCAGTGGATAAATGGCTGTATCTCACGTTATGATTTTCCCGCCTGTTTTTGGGCAGATTCAACCAGTGTCTGCGCGAAGCTGGAACACAGAAAGCAGAGGTCGTCGGCCACTGGTACTTCAACATCCTTCAGCTGTCCTGCTTCGAGTTGCACTACAAGCCGACGTGCGTCGAGTACCAGGGGTGGTTCAGCCGTTGGTGTCGCCGCACCGAATTGGTCCCTTACGCCGAGATCAGCTCAGTTGGACCAATCACAGTAAAGGATGGTTTAGGAGGAGCCACATCGGAGTACGCTTCCGTTGCTCCTACCACGGATGGTGATGACACTGAATTGAGCGGTCAAAGCCCCGAGTCAGAGTCCGCGGAATCGAGTGCAAGCGACCATTGAACTTTGACGACATAATTCCAAGTCCAAGGGGCAGCTTCTCCCCACTGATTTATGAGAGACCAAACTGGACAATTCAATTGAAACTTGAAATTACCTCAGGTTTGGTGATGCAATGTCATGGCAAAACCAATGCAAGGTCTGGAATTTGCTTGTCCAGAAAGAATGGATCGCAATGGACAAAACAGAACCCTTTTTTTTAACTTCAACTTACCTCGGGTTTACCTGCAAATACTTTGCTCTGTGAACTCTTCCAATTCTAGCGTCTGGGGAAATTTGTTTTTCCCATTACAGTCTTCGGGACTGATTCAAGGTTACCCTGGATTTAATTTTGAGAAACCGACAATCAAATTTGTGTTCGACATTACGTGGGCTAGTGCTGCGATTGGGACAACATTTATGCCTGAAATGCATGCGAGAAACTGAGAGTTTTCAACTTTTACGTTCAGAGAACCTGTATTTAAAATATTTTAAAAACCGACATGTAGCCTAACGAAAAATTCCATACTAATGGACCTATGTACTGAGGACATCAAGCTTTCTTTACGTGTAAACTTTCCTACAGAGTTCTAATCTGTCGTCCCAGCTGGCTCCCATAGGCCTATATAGGAAAGCGCTCAAGTAAACAAAGCGTGACGTCATCAGTACACATGCCTGTTAATTAACATAATACTTTGTATCTTAAGTGTGGTAACTGTCAAATAGTGTCCTATCAATGCAGTAAGTTTTAGGTAGTGTAGTAAGTAGCGCAAAAGTAACGTGTGTTAGTAATAATAGTGATGAATATTTTTTATGCTCAATTCAGGTTTCATGTTACACGATCTGCAATTCACCAATCAGCAGTGGTGTAAATAAGGGGAAGGCATGGGGTCACAGCCCCCCCCCCGCTCAAGGCCTGTGTTCCCTTTGTCCCTTCCCCCACTCAGAAATTAGAGATGGGGAAACGTCTGGAATAGTACGCGTTTGTCAGTGTTTTAACTGTGCCCAACCAACTGAGTTCCCCCTCTGGAAAATGAGGACCCTAAATGCCCCCTTCCCTGAAAAAGGTACATCCCAAATACACCCCTGCCAATCAGATGACGGGGATTTATTTCAGCTTTTTATAATACACAATAGACACATTCTTGCGTCTCAAAAGTCATACTAGCGTCATGATAATTTGTATTGTATGGTTGAGGTTAAAAGGAAACATTGTTATCGTGAAATGTACCATAAAGTACCCACTTTAAGTCGAGAGCTTACTGAGATTTGTTGCCAATGCAAATTAAGTCCCAAGGCCCTGCTTCAAAAACTACTGTGAGTTTATGTTAATGTGAGACTTTTTATATCTAAACAAAAACCGGTTTTTATTTGAGTCAAGAACTCTTTGTGCAGTTGTTTTATTGACTAATAACAGTTTTGTTCAGTATTGATGAATGTAACAGGTCAAATGTCAATGTAATAGATGTACTGTGTCCATTGTACAGAGCTTAACGTGAATTGATTTTCAAACAGTTTAAAATATGCCAAAGATTCGAAATCTTTAGGCTCAACAGTTAGGCCTGGGCCCTTTCAGTTTCAAAAGCTTTAAACAAAAACAAGTTTTATGATTTGCGGGTAAAATTCTAAAAAGTGGCACTGGTCTTGCCATACAGCAAGTTTACAAAAACCCTTGATAATAATCGAGCTTTTGCGCCACTATCAGGCCAATTATAATTTTAATCCTGTAAAATCCCAGTTACTGGGAGGTCACAGGTCAACTTGACGGTGATTCCTGCGGTTAGGATATCTCCTTTTCTGTCTCTCTCTTCCCCCCCTCTCTAATTCAACTCAATATTTTCCTTTCTCTTCACAACAAGGGACGCTTTTTCACCCGTGCCAAATGATGTCCACCCCCGCATATTTTTCCCAGCCATCTGAATGTCTGCACGGCGGACTAACAAACAACATGGACGACCATCAGAGTTGCCTATTCACCGTGTCTTTGCGCAGGACCGCACCAGCGTTACCAAGTCAGAGCGGAAATTGGCCACCTTCTCCCGCGCTATTTTTTTCGGGGGAACCTGCCGGGGCGGGCCCGGCCCGGCCCGTGGTCCCAACTTGGCCCCCAGTGGGGGCGATGAAGGCTCAGAGAGCTGCAAATAAAAAAATGTGGCGAGGGAAAGGTACGAGCCACGGTCGGCTGAGGTGAGAAGCTGGATGTGGGCTGCACTGACGCGGCGTCGGGCTCGACATCTCCCCGGATTCGCGCTCAGCGAGCATTATGAGTGGGCGAGGCTCAGCGTAGCTAAACCGGGGACACTGACACGCGTCTTGATCAAGGCAATGAGGAGCCTACCAATGCAGTAACTGAGGTAAGTAAACTGAAAATTTGATTGAAGCTTCGGAAACTAAACATGTTTTCATTTAATGCAGATTACTTTTGATACCTTCCGTAATTATTCCCCCCCCCTTAATTTTTATTTTTTTTGGGGGGGGGGTTGGACAAATCCTCTTTTTGATTGCACACAATTCTGCAAATTCTCTGCAGTTGAGCTTTCTGTAATGCGCGTGAAAAGAATTTTATGTAACGGGAAAAGAAGCATTTTCTGCCGTAAATGAATTATATATATTTTTTGAATTATTATGCAATGCATGGTTGGTGCTTGTAAGCGGGTGCTTACCAGCATTGGGGCGGGACATGGGACCCCCCACACTATTTGTAATTTCCAAAATTCCCTCCTATTTTTCACGCCACTTTGCAAACATGTTTACGAATCCGTTCATTCCACCCCATCCTATCCTATCCCCCATAGCCATTCCAGTCCAGTCCATTCCTTAAATAAAGGAAGCTTATGGCTTTTTGTATTCGTCATTAGCATTTCAGACGTACGTAGTTCTACATGCTTCCATCCACACCTTCAATCACTAAGTCTTATATTGTGAATGAAGGGTAACTCGTTCGTGGATTGACCATTTGAGAGAATAGTAGCTCTGAACTTCATAAAAAGCATCACTTTGCAATATTTGGAGGACATCAGTCACTAAGGACCGCTGCGAAAACGTCTGACGTTGACAGTTTTCATTTTTTACTAGGCCTAAGTTATGGATTAGACGGCTGTAGTCTAGTACGAGAAATTCGTGTATGCGTCACTTGAGTGTAGAGCTCGTGTTTGGTGCAATTCAGCACCCCGCAGTTGTCTCCAAATCCATATTTTGTATCGCTTCTTTCAAAGGACTTTTCAAACTTTTATGTTTTACACTGTTTTTTTTTACATACACATGAGAAGTTTGAAGTCATGTCAGGCTGCTTGAGCACAACAAGTTTGGTAGATTTTTTTTGCAGAGGCCAAGTCTCAGTTGTTTTGTTGATTTAATTTATGGCAAACAGTCACTTTGCAAACTTAATAAACAACATTCAGCATTGAGCTGCATTTTCAGTCCGCGATTTCGAAAGAAAACCGAACCAACAACAGCGCCCTCAGGTGATCGGGAAAAGCTTAGGCATTATAATAATGGTCGCAAAAAGTCCTTTCAAAATAACCCAACTGCGAAGGATTTCCCATTATTTTTGATTGAGTTGAGAAGCGTGTAGACATGATGATTTATTCAAAATGTGTTCGAGTGTGAAATTCATGACACCAACCCTTTTAAGAAGGAAAACGAGAATCAGACTTTGAACACCGATGTTCCTTGTCTCAGTCAGTGAAAGAGCGCATGCTCGATTGGCAGACAATTTGATATTACGACATGATTTTTATGTCTTTTTCTGATGAGCCATAATTATGATTTAATGAAATGGTAATTCACCGTATTTCTTTGTGCCGTAATACTTTCCCGACCATTTTATATAAAGACAGTTGAAATGATTACCATGTACCTTGAAAGAGTTTCAAGCATCCCTTTACCGAGCCTGTCACATGGAACAATATATATGCAACTATAGCAACGGGATGAAACAGAAAAATCCTGACATCAATTATTGAGCGAGCTTTGCCATTCACAGCATTCACCGCGCAGGTTCAAGCTTGAAACGGTCGCTGTGTCCTGGCATTATTTTTTTAGTATTGGGTAGGAGGAAGCGATGATGTGTTATGATTCTCTTTAAAGGATAAAACGGCTCCACAAAGCAATTAACTTGACGGTAACAGGGGAGAGTCAATCTCGTTTGAAAGAGCGTCTTACCCACACGCCCCAAAAATTACAGCGCTGGTGACAGGTCAATCAAAGGCCGACGCACAATCGCAGTGTATTCCGCAAGTCAAATGAAACCGACTTGCTGGTGTTTCTTAGATTGCTACGCAACGTACTGACTGGACAAATGATCGCCGGAGTATGATACTTTCGTGTCATATACAAAGTGTAGAAATTTATGCAGGAGTTGTACGCCCCCTCTATTTTTGATTGACTGCGTAAATAACAGGTATGGTCCACCGCACAGACTTCTTTTAAATTATATCGAGTCAAACAATCTATGACTGTCGGTGTCTTTCAGTATTCCGTCCCGGTTTGAGCTGCTTTGAACTCCATCATTGCATATTTCCACCACCTCTACCGCACTTAAATGAGGGCTGGAGCTTGACTTCGCTTCAGTGTGATCATATCGGTAGAGGGCGTTATCCAAAAGAATTGCCTGAGATTGCACTACACCAAATACGCGCCCATAGAAAACAGTGCAAAATCGGACCGAAATAGCGGCGCCTGTTGACTCTCGTAAAGAGGTTAGCCTCCGTTTTTTTTCACTGGAAATTGAAGATTGTGGCTAGAAGATCACTTTTCGTTTCAATTTCATGGAGATTAGCCACGAAAATATTTTTTATTCGCCTTTGAACGAAGATATCCCCCAAATAGCAGTAAAACTAAGCGCTCATTTCTGAATGTAGCCGCCCGCCTCTATCCAAAATAGGTCCGCAATTTGGGGCTTTTAGTGACAAAAATACCCCGAACTGGAAACTATCAGTCCTAAATTTGGGATTGATAGAAATATTTCTATAATGCCTCCTGATTATGGCCTGTCGTATAGTAAAAAATCCCGTGGGATCACAAAATATTAATGAGCTCGCGCGCAGAAATACAACAATTTGGTGGCATGCACCCCTAAAACGGTCTTCAATCACAAAGCTAGCCTTTGATCTAGGCGCCCGCGGCGAAATGGATGGTCGCCAAAGAGCGAGGAGCTGGAGGAGCGAGCACCAAACCAACGCACGCAGGCGCGCACAGTCCACGACACACATCTCGGCTACTACATGCGCATGCATGGTTAATTTCGGGCTTGCATGTAGTTCGTCCTGTGGTCTTGACTATCCATTTCGCCGCGGCCGTCTTGATCAAAGGCTATCACAGAGCAAGTTCGGGCACAAACTACAGTTCGACCAGTAGTCCATTGCTTTTTAAAAATGCGCATGCACAATCTGTGAATGACCCTTGTCGGTCAATTTTTTAAAAATCTCATCGTTAGTCACATTTCACCGTTGGCTGCGATTATTGCAGTGTGTATGATAATTTAAATCTCGTACAGTTATTTTCATATGAATGGTTCATTCTGTAATAATAAATGAAATCGGCTATTGATAATCAGCCGTGTGACCAGCGGTCTGGTCCCGAATGGTCGACTAGATATTTCAAACCGCCCATCGTTCGGGCGGTGTTAGTCGAACAGTAGTTACCCATTGTCGTCGCTCGAACTTGTCCACAGGCCTAATACTACCAGTGCGGCGCCTGATGAATGGGTGAAGCGCCCTCTATGTAAAATATCGGCTTTTTCGTGAATGCCGAGATAGGCAACAGCGTGGTTAGCCTTTCCGGTGTCGTATCGGTTACACGGATTTTGTGAGTGAACCAGCGCGTGCGTATCGATCTGCAGAGACCAGAATATGATCGAGCACAATGCCAACTGTCGGGGGGTTCCGCACGGCCAGGTTACATTTTCAGAGTGCGACCGAGATTTGGTGTAAGAAAATCCAGCGCGGCGATTGATTCTCACGCGGGAAATGTCAACTCCACGGCCGATGAAAGCAAGCTGTACAATGTTGTCTTTGGCGCGGGATTTAGGGGGAAGGGTGCTCTTTACCACGGCGTCTTTTGTGAAGCAAATAAAAAAGGGGGGGGGAGTCGGAGTCGGATGCAGCGAAAATGTCATCCCAGTGGTGAAATTCAGATGGGTCGGGCGGGAAGACGAAACAAGATCCTAAATGTCAAGATGACAGAAGGGCCATGGAGCGGACATGTTCGAGTCACAAAGATGCACGTCCCGGGTACAAAGAGCACCTCAGGGCCTCAGGATTGGAGTCCCCCGTGTGGTCAATTACACGTCCCTGACATTTTGCCTCGTTTCTTTCCCTTCCCCCTCCCGTGTTCTCGGCCGGAGGGCGACAGAAGGTAGACCGGCCCGGGTGGGAGTTGTTCACGGTCCGTGCATGCGCTGTCTATCCCCCGTGGTTTAAGGACGTATTCCCAAA